GATAACTAGGAAATAAATTCGTATTCTAACTTTAGGAGATCTGGGCAGCCATAAAGAATGCTACGTTTCTAGATCTTTAGTGTCCCAAAACAAGCTCAAAAGGCTTGAATTAAAGCTTTAGATGTCTTGAACATAATTGCAGAAGGCCTTGAATCCAAAAGTCATCATCTTGGACGCCAAAAAGCCCAAATAAGCCCAAAACGCCACTTTGACAACACTACACGCTGCTCCTTTATTTAATCGCTAGAAAATATCCACTTGGTATTAAATTCTAGAATTTTGGTACAATCATCTTGAAAGACTCATGAACATCCTTCAATTAGAATCACTCCAAAATTCATCCATATGATCACTTTATGCTCAAGAGGATATCGCATGTCCTACATTAGAAATATAAATCAAAGTATCAAAATTCTACCAAAATAATTAATACTAAGAATAGGAAAGTATATTATCGACTCATCACCTCATCTTCCCCTGCCGATCCTAGGCTTACTCATGGTTGTTTTTTGTTTTGCAGGTAGTCGAGTTTAAAGCACTTCCTCCACACATGGTGGTGCACAAATTTGATTCTAACACAAGCCTTCATCTTCATCAAACCCACAGATCTTGATCAACCCAACCCAAAAATCAACTGATTATGGTGGTCATTGTAGTGGTGATCTTGGACGGAAATGGTTTCAAGAAATCCTGAACTACATGCGCTATCTCTTTTTCTTTCTAGAACAAAATTGCAGATCTGTTTCCTTCCCCCTCCTTTCTTTCTTTCTCTCTCTCTCTTCTCATCAGTCCAACAAGTTATTTTTTTCTAAGTTACAAAACCGCTAAGGTCGCCTAGCCTACCTAACCCACCCATCAGACATCTAGACACCGATAATAGTCTTGCCAATATGTTGAACAATTTTCAAATAATCGCGTCGACGGCATGCTGTCCAGCGCCTCAGCACCACCTAGCTGTCTAGCTCGATTTTTAGAACAGTGATGATGGTATACCAGTTAGATCTTCAGGAAAAACGTTAGGAAACTAGTTGACCACGTGCACATCTTCAAGTCACATCGGATTACCTTCTTTCACTGCGACATGAGCTAAAAATCCTTCACAGCCTTTTCACAGCATCTGTTTCAACTGTATGGCAGAGATTAATCCATGCTTCAGTTTCCTATGTTTTCTTATGAAAGTGACCATAGGCATGCCTGGTCGGAAATCCACCAAGGCATGATTTTGATGTAACCAATCCTCAATAAGATCACATCCAAGCCCACGATATCCAACATAATAAGATTAACTGACATCATTCGATTGGCAATGAAAACGGGCATCCTTTATTTCCCACTAGACGTAACAAACTTCACCTTGTGGCATTGCGATTCCCTTGTCGCACCCAATATGATTACCTTGTGGTTAAGTCGTTTGAGCAAACAAAGGTGATATGACAGTGGGTGACACATGGATCAATCGAAACACTAGCAAAGTGAGTGAGGATGTTTAGCGTACCCTTAATTAAGTCAGGATTGTTTTTAGCATCCTAGTGGGTGATATGTTAACACAACTATATATCTGCTCTCCTCTTGCACGACCTGCTTTTCTATTACCTCGATTCTAATTTCCTCTGCCCTATTTGCCTGCCTACCACCTTCCCCATTGTTGGACGTTTCTCCGACATTCTGATATTTTCTAACGTATACCATTGTACACCGTTATCCTGGTACTGAGTAGCTTAGATACAGGTTGACAACTCCCAAACACTAGGTATCATTACCTTGATAGTGGTTGGTACATCCATATGCTAGTGTCGATATAGGTCGATTTCCATGAGTAAGTTTGGCTGATAAGGGACTGCTCTTTGAGCTAAACTTGTTGCTTGAGGGGCCATTAGTTAGACCGTATATGTAGCAAATTGTACTCCCTCGTCGTAGTGATAAGTATTGCATATGAAGAAATTCCAAGCACTGGTGTTGCTGGAATTTCCTTAAGGACGAAAATAGGAATTACCGATGAATTTAGCCCTAAAACGGGGTGTGTTGGAACTCGAACTCGAGTAGAAGATCCAGGATTGTAACCGATTCATTTGAACAATTGACTATGCTAGGAACCAAAGGAAGGCTGCCCTTGGTGTTCTTCCGCTTAATGTTACCATCTTCATCATCAATATTGTCACTCAGGACATTTTTTCGAATCCTTGATGCGAAGTAAAGCATCGTAGAATTCCAAGTATGTAGTACATCTCGCAAATGCCACCAGAGAACTGAGGGGTTTGTAAGTGACATTTTCGAAGTCCTTGACGCGAAGTAAAGCCTCGTAGATTTCTTGGTCTTATATTCCGCTTGAATATACTTTTGTCTTCCGAGTTTGTTCCTTCTCATACCTCCACCACAACTTTGCTAGTCCTTGGAAGAACCATATTACTGTCGTAATCTATTTTGATCAACCAGAAAATTTTCCAGCTTCTGCATAGCGCAGAACATCTTCTCCACATGTTCGAACCAAGCCTCGACTATTTCGAGTTTCTCTATGCCATGGGAGTTTCTCACTTGAAGACAAGTGGCGATCTCCAAGGCATTCTTTCCAGAAGGGCGAAAAGCCTTCTGGATAATGTTGTGATAATTGCTTTGAATTGCCCAAAATCAAGAAAGATGGTGTGGTTCGTGCGCGACAAGGTGGCATAGTTTTGACATTAGAGATCAAGAATGACTAGCATTTAACATAATGTGTGTTATGAGTGTAGGACTACCTAAACATGTGCTCACCCTAACCCAGAATGTCCATACAGACATCATAATCAAGACATGCTAGTCGAAATCTGAAAGATGATGAAGTCATAAAGTGAAGGTTTTGTGGAGAACTATGAATAAATTCAAAAAGTAACTGAAATGAGATTCTGCAGTGTGCATGTTAGAACCCATATTACAAAACATAATGTCAAAGCATAAGTACAAATGCAGTATAAAGTAAAGAATATTCCCATCCTAGAAGGATGGACATTTATATAGAAAGGAAATTTACTTCCTATGTTGTCCGATGTCTTATTTAATGATTGTTTGTAATCCTCGTCGCGACAAGAGCACCACCAATAACACTTGGAGGGGCGTAAAAATAGAAAACATGAGCAGGTCCAAGAATAAAGTAAGCACATAAGTTTATTAAGGGACATTTGTGGGCCCCAACAGTGGGAAGGGCATATAAAGAAAGAGTGTAGAGATGAGAGACTGACGAGTGAACGAGAGAGTGAGATACTCTAGAAAAAAGAGAGAAACTAAGTGGTTTGTATGTGTGTGTGTTTGGGCTAAACCCACAAAGTAAATTATTTAGCCACCTGGCATAATTAGGAATAGTATATGGGCCAACTTGCCCACTTATTTAACAAGTCTAGCTAGCAAACCAACATTACCAGTGTGCAGCCTGCAATATTGACATGAGTAGTAAGACAAAGTTTAAAAAATGCACGAACATTCCAGGATGTGATCAAGGATCGAAGCAAGCTCAAATAACTGTCTTCCTCTCAACTAGCACAAGCTTCATCATATGGGTTTGGAGAAATTTTTTTTTTTTCCCCTCAAATGTATAATCTCATTATGCTACGACCAATGACTATAAAGTAGGAACTATGAGACCAACATGCACCTTAGACCCATCTGGCTTATCTAGGCCTACAGGCAAGTAGCCATGAGAAGGTCTCTCAACCTTTGGTAAAACCGGAACTGGAACCATAAAAGAACTAGAAAACCTAATAAGAAAATTAGGGTATGGTACACGGCAAGAATAACAAGTAATAGGCACAACAAGGAGCGTGAGCACAACAGGTACTGTACTACTAATGACAAGCAAATTTCAGTGGTATTCCTTCACTTGTAAGTGAGAGGTCTTAGGTTCAATTCTTGCCAAATGCAGATTTGAACCACATTATTGCTAGCCCATTATGAGACTAATCACATCCCTCCCCTTTAGTGTAGATACCTAATAGGAAAATTAGGGTATGGTACACGGCAATCATAACAAGTAATAGGCATGACAAGGAGTGCGGGCACAACATGTATTGTACTACTAATGACAAGCAAATTTCGGTGATATTCCTCTTCATTTGTAAATGAGAGGTTTTAAGTTCAATTCTCGCCAAATGCAGATTTGAACCACATATGGGCTAAACACATCCCTCTCCTTTAGTGTAAATAATATCGTTTGTTCAAAAAATAAGTAAAAAATAATAATAATAAAAAAATACATACCCCTCAAGCAAATTTTGGGGCGAAGGGCAGGGTAAAGGCAAACACACATCTTAACAACCTTGTTACAATGGCATCAATAATATACGATTTTATGTAGTGTAAAATCTCCGCCTAGTGCCACATAAGCGCTAGGTGGTTGGTTACCATCCAATTAATCCTTAGAAGTTTGAAAATTAAGAAAGAACGCCTGCTTAGGTGCCTGTCTAGACCGCATAGGCACCTGCCTAAACCTACCTAGGTCACAACTCTCACTTAACAAAAAATATATAACTTTCATTTTGCATTTTAATTTTTTCAATAAATAGTACATGTTGCACATGTTTTTATTATGTTTTTATCCTTTATAATCTATATTGTCATTCTATTTTGCAAGTATGCATCTCAATGCAATATGTATCTTTATGAACATAAATAGACACACTTATTTATAGGATATATAACAAATTTGCTTAAATCCGCTCGACTCTGCCTAGCCACCTAGGCAGTAGATCTCAGCCACCGCCCAACTAGCACCTAGCGTCTTTTAGAACCTTGCATGTCATATAAGGAAAAAAGAAAATACAATATGACAACCACAATGGAATTACATACATCATCCTAAGGTATACTATTTAGTTCAACAATGATAACTTTGGCACCGACTTCCTCGTCAGCGCATCCTAAGCTCGATAATAGACATTTCGACAATTTGATGCTGTTGTGTATAGTACCATAACAGCATTAAGTTCTGAGTCCTAACATAGTTTGGCAAAAGAAAGAAAACTATTCAAAGGACCTACAACACGAAGGAAATTACTGTATATCCATATAAAAGTTAATTGTCTACACGTATGTACGGTTCAAAGATACCTAACATGTGCGACGGAAGTATGTATTCACAAATAAGTTATAAGATAACCAATTTAAAAGCCGATAATGGTGTTCAGGTTTAAAAAGTAGAGCATACATTCTATAGTTTCTTTATTCTGAATTATATCTGAATCAGCAATGCTCTTTCCAAAAGTAGACAGACTATCCTCCACAGGAAGACGATGGCAAATGCGTCGTATCCACAGGGCTCTGGCAGTTCAAAGGGGAGATTCCACCTGCATTTAAACGAGCAATTTTCCCAGCAAATCAAATCTTTAGCAGATGAGACAACAGAAGAAACAATAATAAATAGGTAAACAAAGATGGCAAGAGTAATGAACTCAAATATAGAGAGTAAAATGCCAATAAACAAAACTATGAAATCTTCACTCTTCAGTAAGGGACGGCGCATCTTAAGCTCACAGGTGGCTGAGAATTGTGCAACAAGTTCTTTGGTTCATTTTTTACCATTCCCGGTTGCTTGATTAAGTTTGCAATCAACTAAAGTCTAAATCATGGCATGACAATCAATTCAACTTCCTGCTCACCAACTTACACATATATTCTCCCCACACATCCTTTGAATCCTGCACTGCATTTCAAACTATTGACGTTTGTTGCTTTCCACAACAATGCAGGCAAATTAGCCTTCAGACATGAAATTGTTATATTATGATTCCACAATATAACACTTTCCGAAACCTCCATTATCATTTTTAATCGCATGCCTTCAACTCCTGTAGATGACACGCCCACTAGATAGGTAGATAGACACAAACCAAACAGAAAGGCAAGCACTTCGGACCTTGAAGCTATATACCAGTTGACCATAGTAATGAGAGACTCCAGAAATAGTCAATTGTCCCTTGACTAATGACCCAAAAGGGCTAGCTTCATCCCCACTACCTCAACCTCATTCACCTCTCTTTTTATACTCTACTTTCCCCTTTGGGCCTGTTGCCCACCCCTTCATCTTTTCTTTGCACCTCAGATCACACGAAACCCTAACACACCCACAAAGAAGTGGCCAAGGAGCCCTGTATCCAAGGCCATTGTTGCCACACTCGGGGAGTTATTACTGACCTTGAGGACCTTGTCCCTAACGCTATGTTTGGATTAGAGAGCAGGACTTGATAATAATTAGGTGCAATTCATTTGAGAGAACTATGAAATGCTCCTTGCAAGGTGTATTTTTGTTAGTCCCAATCTCAGTATTTTTATAGTGCAATTAGGGTATGTTTGGGTGAGGAACTTCCAAATTCCAATGAACTTAGACAAAGTATGAAGACATGGATCACAAAAAGTTAAATAGGAGGGATTAGAAATGGATCACAACAAAGGCATATGAGAGGGATTTGCAAATGACTAATGCTGATGTGGCGCATTTTTAACTCCTAATTAATTTTTTTGTGATCAATTTCTTCCTCATTCTGCCTATATCCCTTGGAACTTGGAAGTTCCTCGCCCGATCATACCCATCAGGTGTTTTATTAGTACCTATGTGGTGCTCCAGTAGTTCATTGGTGGAGCTCATGAGTGCATTTTTTAAGAATTGAGACTAAATCTTTTTGGCCCCTCCTCCAAACATAGGGTGTGAGGACTTGAATTTTGGGTCAAATGCCACTCGCTCATGGCAATCCAGCTGGGGGTTTGGGTTAACATGGTCTTTGATTTCATCGATGGTAGTCCATTTCCTGATATAAATATTGAGGAAGAAAGATCAACTCAGATACATGTCCTGCAAATTTCACGATACCCAGAATCCAAATATACAGCAGCGACTCAAAAATTTTTAGTCCATGAACAGGTAGGGCGAGAGTTTGTGCTTTCTAGATAGAGGGGAGATTGGGACCAGACTGAAAGATATGTCGCAGATTTGGTGGTAGTGGATTTTGGCATTTCCATTTCTAGAGTTACGAGGCACAAGAGTTATAGAATAGACTGATAAGTGACGACCATGCATCTTGCTGAAGTCTTAACTGATGACACATTTTGACAGAAACGAATAGATTGTGAAAGAGAAAAAGAGAGTAAGGAGAAAAGCAAACACACATAAATGCTAAAGATATGTGACCAGTACGGAGCTGAGCTAAGTGAGTTGTGGAGCTGGTTTTTATCAACCATACTTTTGGATGAACTGATCAACAACAAAGGCATGGTTTCAGTACAAATAAAAGGCCCATAAGGATTGCTGTTTGACTAATTACGTTACTGAACCAGGCTACCTCATAGATCAATACAACTATTCATATGCATTAGTTTTCAACAGTTAAAAGCTCAGCAATATTTTCAATGAAATGATGCCAAACCATATGGAAGCTGTAGCTCATTCATAAGCACAAGATATTAACTGATTGGGACAGGGATAGGTAGTGCAACTGATACAACATTGAGAAAACTTCTTAAATTTGGTCCTAATTCATCTTAAGAGGCAAACAAATAAATCGAACCATGCAATACACAAACCTGATGAGAATGAAAGGCTGTGTATATTTGGTGTGCAAAAGTTTTAAAGATGAACCATATCAACTCCTCTTAAGGTTTACGATCACACTCCATCCACAAACATCAAAAAACTCTCCAACTTCTGATTACCAAACTGGGCCTCCAACTTATAAATGTCCCAGCTTTACACGACCGAGACTTTAGCTTTCATTACTTGGAACCTTTAAAAAACTTAAATTGTTTTTCTTGACCCTTCCAAAGATAATAGTAGCTGCTGCAACCTTATTCAAAGGCACATTACTAATGTAGGATATCTAACCTAACAGCAGCCATGTTTCAACTTTCATACACATGCACAGATGCACAACTACATTAACAATGAACGACCTCTGACCTTAAGACAAATAAAATTACTCAACTTGAGATGCAAACAATAAAGTTCTACATTCAGCTAAGAGAGCTTCCAGTGAAGAATCCTTGTTCCTACAAAGATACTTGAAGAGAAAATGCTCCTATTTGCAGCATCATTAGAGCAGCTACTGCCAAGGAAAACAGTACACACAAAAAGGCAAGTATCGAATAAGATTTTAAAACAAGCTTTCTCCTCCCTCATGCATTAATCTTGAACTCCCACAGAAATCCATGCTTATTCTTCCACTCTACCAAAATGTAATATGAAGCCACAATACAGAGAAGAAACAAAGACAACACACTAATCAAATAACAATATATTTCATCAAGAAGAGCAATAAACACATTAACCAACTAGAGAAAAAGAAACAAAGACAACACACTAATCAATTACCAATATATTTCATCAAGAAGAGCAATAAATACATCAACCATCTTGAGAAAAAGACACAGGACTCATGCAAAAAACATGGAGACCCGAAAGTAAAGAGAAAAGTAAACTAAATAGAAAGAAAAAAAATTACAGGAAAAATCCAAGTGGATTCAGAGAAAAGGAAAATACAAAAATCACATACTGAGTTCTAAAATGCATAAAAAAATTCAAACCCCAACTTACCTTATATAAGGAACTTCTTTGAGTTAATGCAATTGCTGAAAAATGCTTAATTTGAACTAGAACCTGTAGCACAAGCAGCTGGTTTATTGTGGTCATTTAAAAAAGTTTCACCATCACTTTCTGATATCTGTCGATTGTCTGATCCAGAAACCGGACTGTCTAAACTATTTGACACAGAAGCATCATGAACTCTGTTATTGTCTTTTGTTTCCAGACGCTCCATCATGCGTGATACAGTTTCAAACCCTGCATTAACCTCTCTTTTAACTTCCGAACCAAGATCTGCCATGGAAGTATTGCGAGAGAACAATCTCTCCTTCCAACCTTTTGTGCTTTTTGAAATTGACTCTTTGTATCTAATTGAAAATGAGAACGTGTGATGTTTATGCAACGAGAAAATAGGAAAATAAAACTCATTCAGAAATGGTAGAATAAATTACAAAGGTTAAAGCACATTTATACCTCGTTGATACTGCATTAAATCGAGCTTTCAGAGAGTCTGAAAATGATTGCATGTCTGATGGGCCAGCTCTATCTTGGGTACTTGGGGACGACTGGCTAGGCGACCTCCTAAAGGAAAATGATAATAAGATAGTAGTAAATCAACAACAGAGAAAAAAAAAAAAAAAAAAAAGATGTGCATTTGCGCACCAACATATATCTAATCAAGCTGAAGAATCTAGTACCTATTGCTCATGGAAGATCCTTGTTGATTTGGAGAAGAAACACTAGATCCAGACACAGAGGCAGCCACAGGACCAGATTGTGACGAATGTACGGGAGTTGTCATTTGAGACAATTCTTCCCCTATATTCGTAGGAGGCGAAGGGAAAGTTACTGCAACTGAAGGAGCCGGTTCACCTTCTTCCATCTGATCAGGGGAAGATGAAGCAGGAGCCGGAGGTGTGCTAGGATGGGTAGAGAAGACCAGGTATTGCTGGCGACCTTGAGCTGATGACCTATTTCTTTGTCCTTCCCTTCTGGCAATGTGGCGTGAACGACCCATTGCAGCAGCAGCAGCTAAGTGCTGAATTATACGCTCTTCAAGTTCAGCATCATTTACACCCATGGGTAACTACATCAGGAGCAAAATTGAAAAACTTTTAATAAGAATCTTCAGTTTTGGTGGGTTTATACTACATTTAACTTAATAACGTTAAAGAGCAAAGATAGAATACAAACATGCTGCAATTCAAAATCACCAAGAGTTGGATGATGAAATATTGTAGTATTTCGAGGTGGATTAGACCTAATACTTCTCTCTTGCACTACTGCCTCTAGCAGTTCTTGGCTGTAAATACACAAAATGAAGCTCTTATCATTTTGTAATACTTGTATGAGAGATGAATCAAAGGAATACCAGGACCAAGAAAAAAACTACTAACCCAGTGGGATCCTTCAAGCTGATGGGTTGCCAACACATAGGACATTGGGAGCTTCGCTGACACCTACAAGATTGAAACAAAATTTCAATTTTTGAGAACTTTCAAAAGTCACCGGTATATCTTTTTAAAATAAGGCTTAACATAAAATCACTGTTGCAAAAACTTTCATAGATTGTTTTGAGCGCTAAGGTAATTGCAATCGCTCCTTGCCCATTTTACACGTGGTGTCCCTTAAATTTTTTGTTTAAATTAATTTAACTCACATATTTAAGAACCATGTTTTCCCTACTTAACTCACTTGCCTTCCACTGGTTTCTCCGACCCAACCCGACAGTCCCAACCATTGCTGCACCTTCCAACCTAGCCACTGCCCCTCCTCCAGTTAGTCATCATTGTTCAAACGAAATTTCTAGATTTCTAATTCTGATAAAAACGAAATTGAAATCTTGGGCTTGCAGGAGGGTCTAACATATTCTCCACCAAGAAATTAAAAATGCCATTACATTTTTTATGTAGTTTTGTTTTCTTTGTATTTTCGTTTTGTCTCTTGTTTACCTTCTCCTTGATCATTCCCTCTATTTTTTTTTTTTTAAAATATAATTATGTGTAATTGACTGAGCGTTCCTTCTATTAATTTTCCTTCTTTTAAGTGACTGCAGTCTATTGCTTTTGTTTGGAATTTCAAGCTCTGAATATATGGTTTTATATGGAATCAGAAAGAAATACAGAAATGATTTCTAGGTTTAGGATAAGAGTGGAGAGACAGGATGTAAAAAGCTACAAATGGAGGGAGAGTGAATGGCAATGAGTAAATAAGTAAGACAAACATGGTTCATAAATCTGTAAGTTAAATTAACATATAAAAATTAAAAGGAAAGCCACATGAAAACTGGAAAGAGGGTGTTGCAGCAATTGATGCTAGCATTCCTCTTAAGTTAATAGGGAACTGCATAGAAACAAGCTTCTGGCATCATATCTATCTTGGATTCTTGGTAACCATAATAACTAAAAGCAAGGTGTATTTATTCGTGGGCAAAATGAAAGTTCATGAATCATGTGTGAGAAAGGAGACAAACCTCAAGATGTCAAAGAAAGCTCATTAAAACTACTATTGCAAACATAAAGATAAAAGAAGATAGGATATGAATTCTAATCCTTTCAGCTCAAATTAATATGCCCTAATCATTATTGTACAAGTTGTTAAAGCATGGTGTTGGTAGTACAAAAGTCAAAAGTATAACTAGGTTGACCATCATTACAAAAAGTAGAAATTCAACGCCATGTGAAGAGATTTCATTTGAAGTATCCCTGAAGGCTTTAGCAACTAGAATTTACCTGTTAATCAATTTCGATGAGTTCACAACTAACCAACAAGTAAATATCAGTAAATATGTTCGGTAAATATTTTGTTTCTTAGCCTGGAGTAGTTATGCCAACTATAAAATCACAATTCGCAATGCACACAGCATTCCCTAGAAGTAAGATGTGGAACCAGAACAGGGATTCTGACACAAATGCCTAGACCTAATCTTTAATTCCAACAATGAACTATTTGCAGAGTCACATTATTTGGCTACCTTATAATCCTGTGCTACCATTCATAGGCATTTCATGAACAAGAACAAGAAAATCTAACTATAATATCAACAACAAAAAAATTATAAACGGAAAAGAACTTTAAATACTAAGAAATGGGTATCAGAAAATAACCACTCAAGAATGCACTGAAGATGAAATTCATGCTTGCAACCTGTCAACTGCATACAGAAAACGAGAATTGATTAAAACGGAAACCAGATAAGAAAAGATAATAGTGTCTCAACCATTTTATATATACCGTAGAAGGATCATTTTCACAGAAGGCCTCTAGGCATATACTGCAAGCATCATCACAGGCTTCCTGGATTCCTCCCTCCACAAAAGCTGCTGCTGATGTCAAGCGGGCATCAGAATTGTTGGTCTCTTCTATTCCCGGAACCTGTAAAGCAACGCTATAAGCTTAGCAAATACGATTTGTAAAATTCAGAGAACTTCTTCCACGGGGACATAGAAGCATAAATAACGAAGGTGAAGTACTAACGCAATCAAGAACAATGGAGTTTAAAAAATTTGTATCCATTTTTCATGATATTATGCATGGATCAGATATATCATGGCGAATTCTTCAGAAAAAATTGTGTCTTCCACAATGGAATCTGATAAGTGATATTTCGAGTAAGTGTTTACATAATCTTCTTCTGTCCGTTCCTTAATCAAACCAATACAAAGTATGTTATTACATTGTATTTACAACAAAGGGAACAACTTCAGCACTGAAAGGCCAACACTAAGAACCACCAATAATTTGACCCACCAAGATAATCAGATCAAAAATTCATAAAATCAAATTAAGAGATCTAAAAATTACAAATAAATAACAAATACAACTCCTTTCTTCCCCTTGAATTCAGAATTAAAGCATTGAGGTACACTAAAACATATGAAAACGAACAATCAGAAGAATCAAGGGTCAATTAAACAGTGTTTAACACCTAATTTAAGAGGGAATATTACAATTCATGAGTTTCTCATATTTTCTTACCAATGGAAACCAATTTAATCATTTGATGGACAACCAAAACAGTCAAATCACAAAAGTACTTAATTACCTCCATGAAAATTGCAAAGTCTTGAAATTATACAGCCAAAAAATGGATCCTTGATTGCAGGGATGAAGTTTAAATTGGGATTATGGGAACAGCGAAAACCCTAGAGAGAGGGGGAGGAGAGAGAGTTTGCTAATTAGTCAGCTTTTTGGTTTTTTGTTCACTTTATTCATTGTGAGCGAGCGAAGACTTGACTCTTGAGTGCCGCGGAGTGGCGAAGAAGATTAGCTCTCTCTTTCTCTCTCCTCTCTCTCCCTAGAATTGTATATGCGTCGGCAGTCACCACAGTGTTCACACGTGTCCTTCCCACCGATTCGCTTTTGACTATTCATTCTAACTTATTTTACCCGCCAATCTCTTCGGTCTTTCTCGATTTTTTTTGGCTGTCAGTCCAAACAACTTGGAACAAATTAATTTCACAAACTACTTTTCTTTCATAGTTTTTTTCCTGGAAATTTGGCTGTTTTGATCCATTCTTTCCAATTTGGTTGCTAGAATGATCCATTCCCTAAAAATTTGTTGTTTTCTATTATTTTTTTTTATGTAAAATGTCTAAATTCTTATTGTATAATTGCACACTTTAACGACTTCATCAACTGTTCAAAATTCCAAATCTCCTCCCCCTCTCTTCAAAATTCCAAATCTCCTTTGGGGAGAAAAAAATAATCACAAAAATTCACAAGGAAAACAAGATTGCCCTCATTAAATAAGCAGAGCTCTTAAGCATCCTCATGCGCAGCTCAACAAAAGCTTGCCCAAAGACTAAACAAATCACTTACAATCAATAAGGGTAGTCGGAGCACGTAGTTCAAGTGAAGAGATCAAAAAGCCTATGGCGGGTTATCAACTGCCCAACTCCGTCAATATAACCCATGTCGAAGAAGTACTAGAACTCATCGATAGTCAGGTCCAAGTCAAAGAATTTACTCAGATTGGAAAAAGTCCACTATCATACGGATTGCATTTAGAGAACACTAGGCAGAAACGCAACACAAAGTAGTAAGGATGGAACTTGATCATGTTAGAACCAATCAAATGTCAATTATACAATATATAATAAATTCACAATTTATTTCAAATTACAATTTCACTATATATACAATATACCAGAATATGAACAATTAATAAAATTGCATATAAAATCACAAATCACTGACTTGTTTATGGAAGATAAAAGCTTGAAGTTACAATCTCCTAAGACAAAATTTGCCCCTACACCAGTGCAGTAGTTCAACGGACATCTATCTTACAGGATACAACTATCTAACCTAAGTTCTTGCACTCGAACTTGGATTCTTGGCGAATTACTATGTGTTTCTCTATGAATGATCAAAAAGAGAGGGTCATTGAATTGTATTTACGTTTCTAATATTACTGCCATATATATAATGTCGTTTTTGAACAGTTATGGTTGTTCATGCTTATCTTTCTAGAACAGATGTAACTGTTTATGTAAACAATCTTATCCTTTCGAAAAAAACTGAATCCTAAAATCAAAAACGTAAAAATCGTACTTGTGTTTTTCGTCCATCCAAGCCCAAAAGACCAAAGGCCCAAGGCCCATCTTTGCCATATATACACCCAAACCTTCGAAGTCCAAGGCCCAAGGTCCATGTCTTTGGCCCAATTCCTTTCAAACAATAAGTGAGTGAACTCACTTATAAAGGGGAAGTAGACAAAGTGTATGGGCAGTGTGTGACAAGTTCTAACAATACCCCACATTTTCTATTCAAACTCTAGTAGATGACTCTCTTAGCAGTCCCACTGCATGGTTCATGGTTGCTCTCTTCCTTTGCTCATCTTACGCGAACTCCAGACAGAATCACATGCTTGTACACCTCCTAAAAGTCCTCGAACTGCTCGTTGAAAGAAGGCCTGACAATTCCTGACACGACCTAATAACCCAACACGACACGACACGAAATTAACAGGTGTTCGGGTCAACACGTTAATGAATTGGGTTGTTATAAGGTAACCCGACAAGCACAACGGATTGGTTTGGATATACACGTGGATAACACGATACACAATAAGCAAAATATTGATTTTATAATTTTATAACCCTAAAAAAAACTATAATAATTATATATTAATTTAACAATTTAATACCCCTAAAAACTATAATAATTTTATGTGTGTGTGTGTGTGTGCGTGTTAAATTTAATTTAAAAAATTGGTGACCATTGGATCGGCTGAGATTTAATCTCAGCCGTCCATTGTGCATTAGGTTGGAGGCTATTCTTCTCTTCTTTTTTATTCACTCCGATCTCTCTAGTCCAGACTTACTACTACTCCATCTCCTTAATTCGCATCTCTCTCGCATCTTCCTCCGGTCACTTCCTTCAACTCGACTCTGGCAGCCACAAGAAAACCACACACAAGTAAGCACACGCTAAAGTTATGAATTTTGTATTTTTGGGTATTCTATGTTTTTATTTTCAAAAACTAGTGATTTGGGGTTTTCATTAAAATTATAACTAATGGTTGGGGGATTTTCTGGGTTAGGGGTTTCTAGGGTTCTCTGATTTTGGAGATTCTGAAGTTTCTGGGTTGGGGCATGTTTACAAACATTCAAAAAATCCAGTGATCGAGCAAGCATGCTTCGCAAGCTTGAAAATGACAAAAGGACGAGGCAGAAATAGAATCAAGTATTGGAATTTGGGAGTATAGATGTAGTTATGTAAATTAACTTTATTATGTCATGCCATTTAGTCGTATTGTAAGCCGTAAGGTGAGATTCATTACTTAAAGTCATATATATACATATATATATATATATATATATATATTGGGGATATGTTATCAGGGGACTGGGGAGGTTAGAATTCAGATGGCTTGTGAGGCAAGCAATGACAGAGTAGTGACGCTCCACCTATTTTTGTTTTGTTGTAGTAGATGCAATGTCTTAATTATTTGTATGGAATTATTTCTCCCAAGTATTGGCAATTGGCAGGCAAGTCCTCTTTTTATTGTGAACGTCGCGAGTTCATTTGTATCTATGTTTTATTTGGGGTCTATTTACTTGAAGTTAATAAGTGGGGTCTATAATTGTTTTCCAGATTTGGAGATTTGGAACAAGCAAAGCAATTAAGCAAGGTTGCAACCTGCAAGTGCAAGGTATTTTTAATTGAATTGTGAATTTGAAAGTAATTTGAAATTGATATGGTATGAAATTGGTATGAGCAAGATTTTACAGTTTTGTTTTTCTTTCTTTGGATGTTGTAGAGTAAGATTTTACGAACTTTAGTGATGGAGCGTCAGTGGAAGTCACAATAGGAATACAACTTGATCATGGAAGGGGATGGGTAATATGAATAGACATTTGAAAATGTGCCCTGGACTGACTGGTGGATTATTGTCGATGTATGAATTATGTTCCCAAAACTTTGATCCTGTGGTATTTCGTGGCTTATTGGTAGAGGTCATTATCAAGCATAATCTTCCTTTTAGTTTTTCTGAATATGAGGGAATTAGGACTTTGTTTGCATATATATCTCTTTATATTAAGTTACTGTGTAGAAATACAATTAAAGCCTGTGTGTTGAGGATGTTCAAAAATGAAAAACAAAGGCTTCATAATTTGTTAGGCTTAGTTGAAGGTAAAATTTGTTTGACATCAGACTTATGGACTTTGCAATGCATTGATGGGTATCTTGCTCTTACTGCTTACTTTGTAGACAAAGATTGGAAATTGCATAAAAGAATTTCAAGTTTTTTTCACATGCCTTCTCCGCATACTGGTGTTTCATTATCTGAGAAAATTAATGCATTGGTGACTGAGTGGGGGATTAAGAAGAAGTTATTTTCTATTACTTTGAATAATGATTCTTCAAATATTTCTGTTGTTAGCATTTTGAAGAATCAATTGAATCTTAGAAGTCTTCTCGTGCTGAATGATGACTTCTTTCATGTGCGTTGTGCTCATGTTTTGAATTTGATAGTCCAAGGTGGACTTAAAGAAATTGATTCTTCAGTGATAAAGATTTGTGAATGCATCAAGTATATAAAGGGCTCTGAGGCTAGGAAACTAAAGTTTTATGAATGTGTTAGACAAGTAGGGATATTGGATGGTAAGAGAGGTTTGAGACAAGATGTCCCTACTAGATGGAACTCAACCTATATTATGCTAGATAGTGTAATCTTCTATCGATATGCTTTGATTCATTTAGGGTTGAGTGATTCCAATTTAGTAGTTGTCCTTCTTTTGAAAAGTGGGATAAAATAATAAAGTTTTCCAAGTTTTTGGAGTACTTTTATGAGGTTACGTGCTTATTCTTTGGGACAAAGTCCCCCACATCAAATTTGTTCTTCCCTAAGGTGTTCGTAATCCAACTTCAAATTAAGGCAACCATGGATGACTCTGAAAGTTTCATGAATAAGATGGGGACTTACATGTACATGAAGTTTGAGAAGTCTTGGTCAAAGTACAGTTTGATTTTGGCAATTGCAATCATCTTAGACCCTCATTATAAATTGCATTTTGTGGATTGAGCTTACACAAAGCTTCATGATGTGAATTCAGTCGAATTTACAAAGGTTAATGACAAATTGAATGTTCTTTTTGGTCTGTACTTGGAAAAACTTTCACATCTTGATAATTCAAATACTCCAGTGAATTCAGTGCCTAATCATCAAACATGGAGATGTTCTCTTTGAGGAAACCTAAGTTTGTTTTTATTTACTTTATTTATTTGTAGTAGTAGTACTATAAAAAGTGTTGATATTATATTTGAAATTTACATGATGCATGATTCTTATTACGTTTTCGTTTTTATTTTTATGATGTAGGATTTTGATAATAATTATGATGGTTCAATTTCGATTGAAAAAAAAAAAAGAATTGTAGAAGTATTTAGAGGATAAAGGAATAGATAGAAAAGTAGACATAGATGTTCTTTCTTGGTGGCAAATGGAGCGTTTTCATTATCCGATATTTTCTCAGTTAGCACGAGATGTGTTAACAATTCTCATTTCAACTGTTGCATCAAAATCTGCATTTAGTATTAGGGGTAGAGTACTTGATCGATATCGTAGTTTATTGTTATCAGAAACAATTCAAACTTTGTTGTACACACGAGATTGGCTATTTGGAAAAGGAGGTAATATATTTTTATATGGTATAGTACTATTGTTTTATTTCTTTTCATTATTATTTTGGTAAACTTCTTATAATTTGAATGGTTTTTAATGTTTGGTTTTTCTATACTTAGTTTATGTGGAAGAGAGTTCTGACGTGAAAAA